TGCTGAGGGCTTGCTTCCTTATGATAGTGTAACATGAGTCTTTCTCATAAGAACGATGCTTCCCTCGCGACCCCTTTTTAACGCAAAGAAGCTCTACCTCTCTGCCTCCCATCGTCATCGTCAAGTGCCAGTGAAACATGACCGAGCAGGTAGATACCTATATACTGAGCCAAAATGGAAACGAAGACAGCTGCTCATACCCAAATCGTTCATCTCCTAGCATCTCTCTATATCTAAAAGACTATTTGCGTCCTTCAACTTGGGTTTATGCCGTCGAACACGCTCACCCTGAAACTCACATAGCTGGGCAAGCTTTTGGATACTGATGGCGTGCGAATAGATCGTGTCTTCTGAAAATCGCCTCTCCGGTGTAAGCTCGTACGTACGCACGTAGCCTATAGGTATGACAATACTCCGGTGCCCAGTATCCATATCTCTCTGCCCATGAAGTTCTACGCGTACGTACGAAACTCGCTCCGTGACTGGTAGCTCGCTGAGGAGAAGTCGACCGAGTCACATGTATGCAATGTGTGCATCATCACTCAACGTATGTGTCAAGGGTCTACGTAGGAGCACATTGGTGTTCATATAGTTAGAACAAAGACGACTTACGTGCATATGTAGGTAGCTTCCATGGATGCTAGAGATCCCCGCACAACAACGATGTTGTTCTGCGTCTTCTAGGTTCCGCCTCGTGACAATATGTCCCTATTTAGCTAGGTACCGTACCTGTTCATTACGCAGCGATGATCGATCCCCATAACCTAGCTGGAGCTCGGATCTTAATAAGAGGATGATGGATGTCGACAGGTAGGTTGGGAGGTAAATATAGGACTGAGCCTTGGCATCCCCTTACGGCAATCGAATACCCGATCATCACTAGTATGGCAGTGACATGTTACGGTTGCCGCGTTATCCCACTCTACTATTTATGGAGGTGACATAGCATACTCAATACGTATGAGCCGCATCTTCTAGAAACATACAATCATACATCGTTTACCCCGACTTCATTACACTTATGCCGATGAAATGCCCGCCGGTACTCTACCCCTATACCACCCCTTATCCCCGTAGTCCTCAATCGACGATAGTCATAACGGCCTACTTCAAGCTTATCATTCATCCTGAGGATATCATGCTGTAAGGGCTAGTTACCTAGTAACGGTAACTAACGAAGCCTCTCCATAGTAGATAGACATATAGATAGCCTTCGAGTGATTTAGCATGTCACCTTATCTCAAGCTCCATAACTACATACATACCTAACCTCCAAGCCATCCTGGCTAGTCCGGAAGAACCAACTTTCTAAGCGGCGTGGTGTTATGTGTGTACTTAGACGGTATGCAGTAGACTGGTAGGTACTGGGTAGATAGATATATGCCTATGATACTATCTATTACAAGACCCTTATCACTCCCAAGCGAAGCAAGGGCTTGTTGAAAGGTAAGGCTAACACAGTTGTGAAAAGGCAACTTTCTCGTTCACCGCCATGCCAGGACTATTTTATGTAGGTAGTCGAGGCATGGAAATATGAACCCTACAAACAGGCAAGGGTCTCTTCGTGTATTGGCTGATTCGAAGCTAGGTACCTAGTAAGTGAGTGGCCTGTGTGCGTTGGATGTTCGGGGGCTTAGCCAACAAACAACAACTAGGTTAGCTAACTCCCTAGGTTAGGTAGCTAACTAACCAACTGGCCAACTAGCCAACTCCACAAGCAAACAAGCGCGCGCCTACCTCTGCGCTCATGGCATTGCTAGGATAGTATAGGTAGTGAGTAGTAGGTATCTAAGCCATGGTATAATAGGCATCATATCGTTTGTTTGACGGTAAACATAATTCTTGTCGTTTTTAGGTGTGAATGATTCCCAACACATGGACTCGGGAGCATGACTCAAATGAAGTTCGCCAGGAGGCTCAGCATAGCTGTATTTGGACTCGCTATCCAGCAAACTATAGTAGTAGTTAGGGAGGTAAATAGCCAAGTTGGTACCTATGTGGTCTTTCAATCAGTCACGTGAACATTGCGAGGAATATGCCCACCATTTACCCTCCTTCTTCCAGGTCTAGGAGTGATTCGGGTACCAACAGCCTAGGTATTATAATTGAACTCCCCTCCTCAAGCCTAAATACCGCGGCTCCCTTTGCATGGAAAGGAGAAACATGTATGTGTCCAGATCTCACACAGGAAATATAATAATATATAAACACCAACATCAACCTGAGACCTACCTCCCCCCAGTCAGTCACCCATATAATGCCATCCACACCAACAGCCCCATTCTCAGCCTCCGTTGGTATATGCATATTACGGCCCCCGATCTCCACAATAGGTCTCAGGACCGATCCGGGTACCGTACGCACGTATGTGCCTCGCCATATTACCCAGTAGCCGCGGGTGGGGGCCGGGCAGTCATCTCCCCCCCCCACGCCAACGCGGAGCGGGAACCCGAAGAACGGGGACGCGGATGTGGCCTTGATCGGCTCGGATAGGAGAGTAACTATCGGTACCTACCTAGATACATAGGCCACCAAGATAGGGTTTGTAGGCATATTACCAACCCACCCACGCTCTTACGTCCGCAGGGTAGGGGGGGGGGGGGGGGGGGGGCTATCTTAAGCCAAGTATTGAACTCGGTGTCCTTATCCGATCCAACGACCCGTAGGTAGGTAGGCAAGTCAGAACAGCCCAGCCAACCGCCAGAAGGATTCCTTCTCCCGCTGCCTACCTGCCTTCTAGCGCATCCCCCCTTTTTAACCTCATCGCGGCCCGGAAGGTGGCTGGGGCTGGGGGCACGTACATATCCGCCGTACGTAAGGTAAGTATGCATATACTTATGTAGGTAGGTACCTAGGGTAGTTCCGCATGCTGGGGACGGGAAGGACCCGAAAGGGGGGAAGGGGGGGGGCGGGCTGGCTTGTTGGCGTCCCTTCAAATCGGTTTTATGTAGTTTTATGTAGGCAGTTTCGTCTTAAGGCCAACGGCCCAGACCTAACCCAGGTAAAAGAGTATGTAGGCAAGCATCTAGGTATAGTTATGATATAATATGACATGTAGGTAGGTGTAGAAGCGAGGTACCAACCTAACCTAACCTAACCTAACCTAACCTACCTAGATAAGTGATACATCGTAAACAAGGCCCAGGCACATACCACATCACATACCTCACCAACCTACAACCTAGTAACTACATCCTAGGTACTTGTATTACCTAACGAACTACATAATGTAACGGGTAGGTATGTATCTAACTACCAACATAAACCTGACTTGCCTGTCTGCGTAGGTAAGTACCTAGCATCGAACCGAGCCAGTTTAAACCAACGCCCCATTACTTAGCTACATAGGTACATAGGGACATTCATGCTTACTTACTACCACTTAATCACTAACACCAATCACCATCCCGTCCGATCACCCCCTTTCTCTTTGTCCCAACTTCAAATGCTACTTACTTACTTAGGTCCTAAGGTACTACTCACTCACCTACCTATGTACCTACCGTTACGCAGCATCAAACCACCACCCACCTAGGTGAGGTGAGACGATAAGCATCATATCACATCAGCCGCCCACCTTGTCCCCTCCCCCCCCCCTCTCTCTCTCTCTCTCCCCATAACCGCCCCTTTCTCTCTACCTCTTTATATAATCAAAAGTATGGGCAGCTATATAATTGGCCCATACTCGAACGAATCAGTTACACCTACCTACCTACCTACCTAGCTGCATGACACCAACGAACCACGCGAACACCCCCTCAAACAAGTGAAAGTGAGAACGGCCAAAGTGCGGCATGGAACCGAATCAGGCGATAAACCGCGAGTCAGCGAACGAACGAACTCGCAGCCAAGCGAGTTGAACAAATGAGGGAATAAGAAGAAAAAGAAGCCCTGAGAAATAGGTAAGTACCCATTAACGGGAGAAAGGGGGGGGGGCGTGAAGAGAAGAGAAGAGAAGAGAAGTCTAGATGTGCATATGTCCCATACAGAGGTATCCGGGCGAAACAAAAATACTATGCAACTGCCTACCAACCTATGTATATGTAATCCAAGTACCTATTGACTGTCGTAGCATCGACTCGTTACGTCTCGTACATAAGATACCTAGGTACGCAGACATGGGACAGACAACCGAACCGTTAATACTATCATATTCCCCCCCCGACAAGCCGTGAGCGAATAAAGCATGTTCTAAGTAAGTGTGCAATGTTTTGTTTCTCACTTAGGTCCTAGGTCTAGTCCTAGCTCCGTAAGGCTATCTACCTACCTATCCGTAATACTTTAGATATGACCTACGTATGTCGTGAATCATGATTAACACAAGCAACCCACTCCTACACAGATAAGCTTCTTTCCACCATAGCATCTAGTTCGTTCGTCCGTTCGTGTGAAACCCCTACCCACGTCTTTTCCCTTTCACGGGATACCGGTGTGACCAGACGTATGATATTAGCTCAGCCGCCACACCGGCATGATGCATCGCATCTTATTTACTTGTTCGGATAATACTCCGTTGCGCCACCGGCCGATCTTTGCAGCCTCCCCTCCCTGCTAAGTATGTAGGACCTATTACCTACACACTAGACTTTGTGGTACCGAGCGATGGATATTAGGTACATAGTAGGTAGGTAAGACAGATGCCGAGGTATGTAACTACTAGCCACTAAGTAAGTAGGTACTTAGATAAACCAAACTGACAGGTATGTAAGCTGCCAATGGATGTCGCTATTGTAAACATCCATTCGGCACACCCCACCCCCCCACGGCGGCTCGTTCATCTCAAACGCCCCCCGCGATCGTATTGTATGTAGGTACTCAGTAAGACTTTGTGTAATCGTAGATGATCACCCGCTAGCGGATAAGCCGATGTTTCGAAACCACCGCTGGCGCCAGCAAGCCACCTAAACATCTCAGCTTGACTTGAACGAGCAACCCAATCATCACATCATACATTCTTTGCAGAACCAAGGTACGGGCTGTGTGATAAGCGCGTATAGATCTCACTTCTTGATGAGCCTATATTTACCTCCCGCAATTTCGAGCTCGCCGTCCGCTATCTTCTCTCCAAGGAACTCCTGTAGCTCCTCGTTACTCCAGGGGAACCCGTCCGCGATCAGCATCTTCATCATCATCGAGATTTGGCCAAGAGGCATAGCGGGGCTCGAGTTCGTCAGCATGCCGACAATGAACTGCCAATACACTTGGCGCTTCTCCTTCTCCTTTTCACTGATTCCTGACTTGGCCTTTCGAGGAGTGACGGGTGCATTGTCGTTAGCACCGGCATTCATTGATGGCGCCGGCTGAAGGGATGATGACTGCTCAGCATCTGAGAGTCGCTCTATAACGACATAGGTACTATCTGGAAGCCTGCGTATGACATGCTTCTTCTCCCAGAATTCTAGTGCTGCCGTGAGCAGGTCTTCGTCCATCTGCAGTTTCATCCATAGATCCTCAAAGGTCCAACTAGAAGCATTCTCTTCGCTAAAGCAATCGATGACAGTCGCCTCGTAGGTATGGACATTTTCCTGTATGGTGCGGTCTTCGAGCTCAAGTTCTACGGTTGCTTGGCCGAGATGGTTAAGCCACTTGATCTTGCGCGACGGCTTGAGATGCTCAAAGACAGACTCGTACATCTTTTGCATTTCCGATACACTGGGAGGTAACACAAACCGTTCTTCTCCGATTTCGGGCCAGTAAAGACGAGATAAGATGCGTGCGTGGATTGTCCAGTCTCGCTCGACCTTATCTGGGTGGTTCACGGTTCCGCGGTTGATGACACCGTCGAGTCGTGCTGAGTCGTGGACATCCCTGATCATTACATCGCAAGCTTGTAGTGAAGATTCTCCGAATCGCTTCTTCAACAGGTCCAGCACGCCCACCTCTTGCTTAAAGGTAGTCTGATCAGAAAGCAACCGCTCCCCTATGATGCTTTGGAATTCCTTAATGAACACCTCCGCCGAGCCTAAGGCACTAATGAGTGTACCGATAACGTCTTCGGACTTTCGTCGTTTATAGTTATGACCCGCATCTACTGGAGCAGGCATCCAATTCAGGTCATCCCATTCTTCGTCTTGCCGCTCACTGCGGTATTGATCAGAATCTTGCTGTAGTAGCTCGACGAGTTCGACGAGCTTCGTTTGACGTGCTTCGGTATTGATTTCCTCACGATTAGCTAGCAGGCCCGTGACAATTATGCGAACAGTGTCTTCTCGGGTGCATAGATAGAGCTGAAGGGAGTACGCAACTCGGTCGAGAAGTACCCTTGAATGATCTAGCTTGTGAAATGTCCGAATCATAGCAATATACGTACGCAGTATATCTAGTGTTGAGCGTCCAGCATGAAGTAGGCGTTTTTGTAGTGTGGTTGAAAATGCATCTGTAAGCTGTAATCGTCGTTGAGGCGTCGTGACTGCGTAGCGGAGGTCATCGATCCCACCCTCGCTGTTCGGCCAGCTAATAACAATGTCAAACAGCTCATCAATACGCAGCGCCGCAAGCCTCCCGACTGCAATCTCCTTCCACTTCGCCACATCAGCCCAGGAGAACTTCACATTGCTACTTAGCCGGCTGGTGACTTCGAAGGCCAATTCCGCGTATTTGTGCTCGACCCAATCTACAAGCTCTTCTATGCACTTTGGTTTGACTTTGGGATTGCCTGATGCACGTGCCTTTATGTCCAGGTCCTTGTTAGGCGTCCACACTCCCGCAAACTTCTCTCGAATATAGGAAATCATTATCTCATCGAGGAGTTCTGCGAACAAGATCTGAAACTTCTCACCAGCAAGGCCGACCTTACAGACCGAATCCATAAGCTGATACAGCTCCTTCTTCGAACTCTCTGCCTTATCGACGCTAGCAGCCTTCTTCTCACGCGTCCATGGCTGATCAGCCGAATATACACCGAGAATTACTCTCATCAAGTGGCCGAGGACCGAACCTAAGGCGTCTATCAAAGGCGTAGACATCGAGTTTCCCACGATAGCATATAGGTCCCGGTGAAACTTCATCAGAGCAAGCTCCGCATCTTCTTTATCCATGGCCCGGAGAATTAGAGACATGCCGAACAGATACTGTCTATGCGCAGCCTCCAGCGTTCGTATGCTTCCCAGCAGCACTTGCGTCTGGTCCAAGTGGGCGCCACAGACATCGAGCAGCGGCAGCACATAGCTCACGAAGTGCAGCCTAACTTGGTGGGAATGCCAAGCGAGGATGTCTTCGGTGTGAACGAGGAGCGGAAGACGCGTAGCCGGGTCTAGTACATCCAGGAGGGCATCCAGAAAGGGGCCATCCTCGAGGTCCTGAGAGTTCGGCAGGGAGCCGAACGAGTCCTCCGCCGTCACGGAGGGCGGGAGGGCGATCCGGGTTGTGACCGTGTGCCAAGACCGGGCAAAGCGGGCTTGTTGAGCGGCATGGGAGCTGTTCTCCGGGGAGGCCAAGCCGAATTGGGGGTCAGCTGCCTTCTTCGAACGAGTCTGGACTAGTGGCGTTCGACCTTGCTCGGGAAAGCATAGGGAAGGGGCAGAAGAGAGTGTGGAACTCGAAACATCAGTCTGGAAGACAGACTGGGCTGCGCGTCTCCTGCGCGCGTTCCACTTAGTATCCGCAGTCATCATCATAATCTTTTGTTGCTATTGTTATCTATGGCAACATGAGAACGTGGGTGGACGTGCTGACGGATTCATGGCCCTGGACAAAGAAAGAGAAATTTCTCTATGAGGAAAGTGCCAGATGTGTCGAAATTATTTTTAGGGAGTCAAAACTTGACCACCTCCCCTTAGCTCTCTTGGTGTTATTCTGGGCGGCTGAACGAGGTTGAATTGTTGCGTTGCAGGCCTGGAGATGAAAAGACAAGGTTGTTGAGATTGGTACCTATCTGGTCCTATCATAAAGTAAAGACCTGGGCAGTTTAGGTAGGCGGTGAAGGGCGCTTAGGTCAGGTACTACATGTACCCTGAACATTGAAATATTTAGGTACTTGAGTACTAACTATGTGGTTCTACTAGGTACCTACCTAGTAGTATCAATGTACTGAAGTACCTCCATGGGCTGTGGGTCAACGGCCTCACGCGGCTGAAGCGTTTGTCGCAACATCCTTCCCGCTATCATCAACATACACCATACCGTGCATCTACAAGCCTCCAAGGTTGTCTCTTGCATATACATACATATGTACACGTGTAGAATCTCAGCATTACTTCCTCCGTTGTCGCATTTGTATGTGTATGTATGCAGGACATCACATCCAGGAAAGATGGCATCGAACTAGGTATGCATATGCACATTAGTACCTAGGCATGTACGATAAGTATCTTTCGTATACCAGGGTCAATCATTTCCATTGGACGTTATCGTCAGATACTAACTGGCACTACGTTAGTTAGGTGCTACTGTGTATTGTATTGTACCTATCTTAATGACAGTTAAATGTACGCTAGAGGCGGTAGTAGGTACTACCTATTATGTACCGAGTCATGTATGTAGGTACCTTTTAGAGATCGACTTCAGATTAACGCTCATTAAGCTTAAGATCTTAAAATATCATCATCATGACTGGACTACCTAGGACATGGATTATTATATGGATGACATACCTAACCTAGGTTGGTAACTAATAACTATGTATGTTCTACCAAATATCCAACACCTAATTACCTACCAATGTAAGTAAGTAAGTTGTGTTGTTTGCAAAGTTGCCTATCCACCCCGTGGTATCCGACTTGGAAAGCTCATCTATCCACCTATTCTGACATGATCTTCCACTGCTACCTCACTGCCCAGAGAGGTATTTGACATGCATGCGGATGACAGCGGTTTCTGGTTCTAATTAAACTCATCCGCTAGCTTCGACTTCTGGGAAGACAAGGTTCACGATAGATAGATAAATACCTACATACACTAGGTAGAGAGAAGAAGAGGAGAAGGAAAGGGTGTGGTGAGGGGGGATATCGCCCCCAGGGTATTCCGGGTTGGTGAGACGGCATTTTTGGGAAGAATTGCTGCGGCGTAGACGAATCGTAGGCCCCTCCCACACGCTTGCATGCGGGTAGCATGTGGGAGAGTAGCGTGCGGCATAGGCAACACGAATAGAAACAGCCCATCGAACAGGCCGGTCAGCAGCACCACGCAACTGTTCTAGCAACTCGACCGATGCAACAATACCTTACTTATCAATACTACCAATATTACCTAGTGATAAACCTCATAATGTATGTACTTTCTCGAGTATTTTGCCTATTTGTTTACTTACCATTGTACTAGTCATGCCAACTGCTTTCCTCTTCCCCCCCACTCGGGTCGTGAAATTGGATACGACTATGCAGATCAGTCAGACGCTAGACGGATGGCCTTACTGCGTAAAAACGAGGCGTGAGGAGGGCTGAATCATTACGATTTAGGGCTGACGCAGGCAGCTGTATTAATGTACGGAAGTCGACCTTTTTGCGTTGCGTTCTTCTCGAATGAAAAGCCCGAAACCAATCAGCAACACCCACTCGCCAGCCAGGCCAGCCAGCCAGCCAACCATTCAGGTCAATGAGACACAGACAACCATCCAGGCCGTGTTACCTCCGTTATGCGATGTGGTGCTGCCTATGTATGGCCTTGCTCTCTTCGCTTCCCGCACAGGGGAAATAATAATAAAAAAGACTTCTTTGATATTTGATAATATCAGGCAACCGCATTGCATCAAGATCATGATGTTTCTAATCGCCGGTTGACCTAAAGCCGGTTCCCGTACAGTTGATCAATCGCCACGCAACTCTTCCTTGGTCGAAGGCAATGTGTAGTAAGCGCAGGACAGATGCATGTCGCCGGGGGATATTGAAACGATCTTTCTTCTGCTTTGGTTACATCCGGGGGTCGAATTAACCATTTGCCTCCCACCTCACCCACGCTGAACCTACAGCTTTCACACGTGTAGGTCAGGTGGTATGGGGAAGTTCGGCTGGGGTTATGCTGTAGGCTCTACACCTGTCAGGTCCTTGCAGCGTAGTAATCACCACCCACCTAAGAATTTGTTTCATGTTCTGCATTGTAACCGGATTGCCCTTGGTTGAGGCCTTGGTTAGTGTGGCGTTGGTCTTAAGTTCGCATGGTCAGCGTGGTTGGCTGGGCGGCCACCCCGTGAGTCGGGTACTTGGTTAGTGCCCACTCGGCGACCTTCTATACATCCCGAAGTAACCGACCTTGGAGTAGTCACTTCACATACCTAGCACATAGCATGTTTTTGGTCGACCTAGAAGTGTGCGTATGCGTGTGCGTATGCGTACCTATATTCATATCGGTTTAGTCTAATTGAATAATGATACTGAAAATGGGATTGGAAATACTTTGCGAGATCGTCCTTGAACTACGAAGTATTTTAAGCTGGAAAAATCGATAGGTTAGTTAATATGCTATGTATATTGCGTGCTGTCAGTGTACGGCGCAGCAGTATTTCCGATCTTATAGCTCCTCATGTATATCGAGTGAGATCGACGCCAGCTTTAGATTACTCGATGTACCAGTAGCATCATCGAATGAAATGTTGCCTTTTGAGACTACACTCACTGCCTATGGGTCGCTGTGTATATTTTAGATCATACACTTGAGTACCCAAGTATTGTGGCTTCGGGACCGATCGAGTCAATCTTGATAGCTCTGTAATGCTATAACTCTTTGAGCCTTTTTTTCATCTTTCCCCTTCGGCCACAGGGGTCATGTTGAAATCCGTGTGGTGTCTTATTTGCGTAAAGGTGCAAAATTAGAACGACTTTCCGCGATTGATATTCTCCTTCCTGTTTGCTTTCCGTAGAGAGGTGGAAGTACCCGCTAATCGCCGTTGTTATACATATCATCGTATGTAATCCGCATCTTGTCATGTACTAACCGCTTTTACATATATGCCTATCTAGCATGCTTAGGTTAGGACATATGTTTCACCTCAGCAGATATGTATTGGCGGCATACGCGGCCGTATCACTTGAGGCTGGCTCGCCATCATGGTGGCAAGTGCGTTATCCTTAGGCCCCCAAAGACTTCTAAGACCACGCTCACATTCGGTGTTGCGGAGAGTCTGACGTTGTATGGGACGATACGAGTATTATCAGATGGTTCATTTTGTGATCAGCCGTGGACTCGAGCTTTTTTCATTTTCCTATTTCTGTCGTGTTTACATTGATACCTCTTGTATGGCCCGCCGCTTGCGTGCACCTGGTTTCATAGGTAGTCTGTGATGTTGATATTTGCATGGCAGATGAATATAGCGCGATGCAAGCATGTGGCAACAGCGATTTACGCCTTTCGCCCGACCTCGTGTTGTCGCAGATATCCATTTACAAAGGTCCAGGAAGCCACAACGTAGTAGTAGTTAATTTGATAGAACTGGTAGATATTTTAGTATAATACGATTTGGTAAAGGGTCTCAGTGTCGGAGATTAGGAGAATACTATTTTAGTCCTTTGCGGGTTTTCGCACTTTATGAAGGCCCTGACATCATAAGAGCGAAAGTCCGCTCCGAGGCCCCTCGGCGACTTTCTTCTTCTCGGCACACGGGAAAGTGCACGGATCAAGATCATGGTTACCTAGTAGATATGCGCCAGCATGCGTAGTTCTCACCTAGGTAACCGTGACTTGTAACTAGTACACTGTCAGCCATCTCAGAGACAGGAGATTATGTAGGTACTTACTAGGGAGTTAATGACTTAATGTACATACAAGCACGTTAAGCAGGGCTAGCTAGGCAGGGCCGTTGTTCCAATATAGGTACCTTTTTCATAACACCGGCTAGTCGTCCCGACTTTACCCAAGCGAGCAAGGTGTGACCTAGGTGAAGAGCTCTCTCCCCCTCAAGGTTCGAGACTGTACCAATATGATAATGCCGGTTTTATGTAAGTCCGCGGACATCTGGAAGCACAGTTGTTGCCCATTTCATTAGTTACCTATGCAGCAGTTCTTCGGTTCATACATGCGCAATCCACACATATAATTCCGGCTAGGCATGCTTAGCACAGCAAATTATTTGATTTCTTTGTTTAGGTAGCCAAATGCACTGAGCCGTGCCCTATTTCGGATATGGATACCGATGATGTAAAAGGCCCGCTGGACTAACCGCTACGTTGATCGGTAGGCGGATCAAGATGTCTCGTGCCTCATTATATGGTGTATGTAATATATTGACTTGAGCTGTTATATTGTGTTATGTATGTTATGTATGTATGTGCGCATGTGTGTCTTAGGATTGTGTGGGGGAAGAGAGATAATCTATTACCCATCTTGGTTCAATTGAAGGTTTAAGCTGTTCTGTCCTACGCTTATGTAAGACACTTATGTACCTAGGTATAGTTATGTATTTATGTGCAATTCCATGTCGATGTTCTTTGCCCTTGTCAACTTTACATTTGACATGTACGCAACGTCTAATAGTAGTGCTATTCATATCAGGTACTAGCGTGCTTATATGGGCAAATACAGGGGACTTCAAGGTTGTTTACTGTGTTTCTTACCAACGATGGATTCAAGCTTGAATTGATGATGGCGATCCACATGGCATAGGCAAGTCTCTTGCGGAAGGAGCCTTTAGGTTAGACACTAAGCCCTGCATGTGTTTTTTAACCTTGCCTATAACTCCAGCTATAGGGGTACATAGTAGCTACATCTCAATGCCCATTGCCCACTTCATATTAGTATGTGGTATGTAAGTATTAGATATGTATTTTGCAATAATACCTTCACTCGTTACGCAACTCTATGATGCAAGGCCCCACTGGTAATCTCATAATGAACATTGAACAGAGGTACATCTCTAGACAGTCTAGACTTAGTATGTGTACTTAACTACCTAGTACCCTAAGTTAGAACCTTCGCTCATGGATACTTCAAATAATAGTTGCCTTACGTCGGTGAGTATCTACTATCATACCCGTCTGCCTACACTAGTATAGTTTAACGATGTAGTAAAGTAACGTATCAATCAATACTAGCAAAGGGTACCTTAGGTAGGTTTACTAGGTAGTATGTTAAGGTCAAAGTTGTATCTGCTGCAAGGAACTAACCGCACAATCGGTGCGCATGCTCTTTTAAACGTTGCGCAAAAAGGTACCGGGATCCTCGCGTCAATTAACTTGAAGACCAATCCAAGCCTGTCAAGGATGTCATAGCTTTTTGTAGCGTTGCTTCTATTTCTGGCAGCATTCCACACAGACGATGATGGCACATGGCTTTTTTTTTTAACCCTTCCCTTCCCTTCCCCCCCCCCCTCATCACCCACCCCTCCCACACCCCTCCCCTTTTTCTTTCCACCCCTGATCCCCGTCCAAGGCTGTGCTTCGCTTTCTTCTCCAACAGAATTTCCCCAAGTCCCAACGAGCAAGTTCAAAGGTTGCCATGGGGGTTGGTCGGAGTCGGGGTCGGGTCGGGGTAGCAGTAGGAAACCCTTGAAAGCCAAAGAAGAACATGAAATGACTTGTGGTTTTGATTGGCCCGCGGGTCGTTTCTGCTGTACATGGTATGTACTTCGTACATACATAGTTACATACATAGTACATACAGCTACGATACAGAAACACAGCATAACGATTCGGCCGATCCCACCACCACCACTACTACCACCACTTCTAGCTAGTGACTACTTACTCCTACCCATCAACATCAAGCCATGTCGTCAAGATCTACTATGTAGGGCTCTGTGTTTTGTGTTTTCTGATAGCTCATGCTGCAGAACAACGGCGCATTTGTTTTGTATCACCTCATTGTGTAACCATCAGACTCTTCTTCTTCTTCTTTATCAGTCACGTTGCTTACATACCTACTGACCTACCTAACCTAGTTGTCAGGTAACTAATGACTACCTACATATGTATTGTACATGTTAAAACACCAGTATGTATGCCATTGATTAACAACCCCCCCCCCCCCCCCCCCCCCCCCCTTCCCCCCAGTCAGCTGCTACGCCCATTTCATTCGTCCACGGAACGAACTCTGTGGTACGGGAGAGATTATGGGCGATCAGAGAGAGAGATAGATAGATAGATAGATGCCTACGTACCTAGTAGGTACGATACCGATAAACATCATACGTAACTATGTATTGCACTAATTTATGTATGTACATAATGTAACAGCAAAACTGGGACCCCCTTCACCTCCTCTCCTCCTCTCCTCGCATATAAAGTCCCCTTTTCGGCCGAATCGTATATCCTAGTCTGGGGAAGGGGAAGACATAAATTAGTGTATGTATGAATATCTGTATGTACGTATGATATGGCCTAGGCCAGGGAACCCTTAAACCTGCCAAAGATTAAAAAAAGTGGGTTTAATGTCTAGGGGGGGGTAACTGCACTGCAGGTGACGAGGTTGAAAGAACGGGACATATGTCCCACTTTGTTCCGTTGAGCTTCGCAGCTTGGTAACGGTCGCCGTCTTGTTTTTGAGACAGGACGATTTCCGGATTTCTCCAGTTTCTTGTTTTTTTTTTTTTTTTTACCTTCTCCGCCTTCCTTAAGAGATGAGGGGGGGTGAGGTAAACCGGGTAGAGGAGGAGGAGGAGGAGGAGGAGAAGACGAAGGGGGGGATTTCTTCAGACCGGAACTGGCAGCGAGCCGAGTTACAACGGCACCGCACTTAATTAAACTATTGTAGCTTCATGTGTATGCATGTCATGTAGGTATGGGCTGGGTATGGTAATGTATGGTAGGTACAATACATACATTAGCTAGGTAAATCTTGAGTGAAGCATCTCCCAATGTGGCAGCTGGTTGTGGTTTTGAGTGCTATGTGCTGCAACGCTATTCCCTGCTTGCCACCTGGCTATAAGCTAAGGCTTCTTCACATAGTAGCAATGCCTACACTACGCTACCTACCTATATCAGCCATTGTGTATGTCAGGTCCTATCCATCGTCGCTGGTGCTATTCCTAGATAAGGGTCAACATCCATGTCGTCCACGCTTTTTCCCGTCCATCGTCGGGCTTCTCCATATGCCATCCTCGAGGCGATGTCGCATTACACATAGCTACTAGTCGGCCGCGTGAATCGGAATGGTCGTAACATATGTCAGGTCGGATGTGATGCTACCTACCTGCCTACATTCTATACAACGCTGAAGGGGACTCCACGTTTCTTGAAATTAGGTACGGCTGAAAATAGTTCAGTCTATATGCATATAGACGAGTTTGTAATGCTTCTATCATGGCAGAGTCACTTACGCTACCCCTCCCCGCTGTATGTGCGACATTTTTACCGATGTCTTGGTAGCTTTCCAGTCCTGACCACGAAGACTGACTAATAGTTCCGAATAGTTCAAGTTAAGCTGGGGAGAGAAACATATGGCTAGCGTAGCAGGTTAAGACAGTATCACATCACAGCCGGATATCACCAACATAGGTAGACAGTTTAAAAATAATGTCTTAAAATGATAATTTTGTCAGTTCCAAATATTCCAAAAATATACATGGTTAAAGATTGAAGGTCGAAGATAAAAAATATTTCAAGGGAAGATAACAAAAAAAAGGGGGTATATGCTTAATCTTCCACGCCATGTCCAAAGCTCGTCAACCCATCAAATCCTTTAACGTCCATAATCCCATATATACTCCGAGTAAAAAAATAAAAACAACAGAAAAGATATTTCCAAAGAAAAGAAAGTTTTAGATGCCAGTTGAGTCGTCGCCGTCTAAATCATATGCCACTCCACAATTCATCGTAGCCCTCGCATTTTTCGCCGTAGCGCTCCTAACCATCATCCGTCCATCGTAAATAATACAAAAGTGGGGTTTATCGATTCATCGGGCCTCACGAGTTTCGTCTTTGCTTACACTTGTCGTGAAGCAGGTGTCCATTACGTGCCTAGAATAATTATTAGTTGGCCGGCTGGTGGCATAATCTGAAGGGGATAAACACTTACAGTAGTCCTTGTGAACTCAGCACCGCAGTTGGGACACGTAGCCTTGGTTGCTTGTCCTGATTTCTCGCGTTGATGTCTCAGGAGATTGCTGAAGGTAGAAAATTGTCGTCCATTACAGCCATGCTCCCAGCACTGGGGCTTTGGGCGACTTTGGACAACGCGAACGTGACCAGCCTCTTGCGCTGTGCCCCCAGAAGATAGAACAGGTGATGCCTGAACAGGATACATCATGCCAGCCTCATGCATGGGCGGTGATGGTCGACTACTGAGACTGTTAGATGTGCCCATTTTTATCATTACTTGCGACAATACGAACCTATATTGTGATGACAAGCTCTGCGCGGAAGGTGGCGGTGGATAACCTGGTGAGTAATTCAAGCTCATGTAATCGCTGGGGGGCCTTATTATATTAGTTGTCAGCGCTATGATATTTAGTGTTACCAATGAATGAATCACTCACAATGACGAAAACTGATGTGCAAACATGTTCGAGCTACCGTGGTCCGGAAGTGGCGATGTGGAATAAGACGGCATATACGAGCCTGCCATGGTCGTAGCGGGTTCTGCGAGAAGAGATATTTGCGACGGCGCTGTCGAGTACACTGGTACCGGGGATGCGGAAGAGAATTCATGCATTGAGACGGGCGGGGATGCCGAGGCTGAAGAATAGTTGCTCATGGTGCGGCGCGCTCGTACAGATGACTTTGAGTCTCGTCGGACTTGGTCTCGTTGCCTCTTGAGTTCGCGCTGCTCTGGCGTTAAAGTGAAGCGGGGCGGGCTCGAGGTTAAAGATCTGGAAGTGCTGGGAGGAGTCATTCTAGGATCGGGACCATGGCCCATGGAGCCCAAATCGTGGCCTAATAGATCATGGCCAGATTCAAGACCCGGCCAAGTGAAGGAGGATCGAGGAATGCCCATTTCCATCCTAGGGTCGTATGCTACAGCTACAGTACTACTTTATTATGAGTTTTAGTTCTCGGTTGGGCCAGAAATGCAAGCTTACCTCATATTTGTGGATGTCGCTGAGGGTGGTGGAGATGTTGAAGAAGGAGAACAACCTCGCGCTGGATCGAAGCGTAAGAGAGGTGTATTTTGAGGCTGCGTTTGCCGTTCACTCCACTCAGCATCCAATGCACCTTGGGGCGGCGGAGATGGGTAGGACGCCTGGCCTGGATGAAATGTCGCAGAGCGCTGAGATATATGCCTTATATATGAAGGCGGTTGGTTTTCCTGAGAAGAAGCTGGTTGGCTTCGAGGCGAATCGATGAGATGTAAGTCGTGAAATCCTCTTGTCGTCGAGATCGTGTTAGCTCTTGACCTAGGTAGGTGTGAGTAAGAGTCTTCGAGATTTCGTTCTAATCGAGTGGATTGGTTCATCGTGATAAAGAGATAGTGTCGAGTTGAGGGCCTTTAAGTAGTGGTAAAGAAATACATACAATAATGTCTATCTATGCCTTATATTTTGCCTGGGTTGGTATATGACTCGGGCGTTGGAAGGAAGATGGAAGGATATATGAGAGTCTTATACAAATCACCAAGGTGGAGCTGGTTGAGAGATATGGGGGAAGGACTTTGCAAGTTGTGTTTGGCAAGCGTTTTGTATTAAAGATTCTCAGCCTCAAGGGTTGCGATGGCAGGACAAGCAGGAACCTCAAGAGCTTATAAATTTATCAGAGGCAGTACCCTGGTGGAGCACGACAGGCCTTAACCTTACGTAGGTATATGCGTGGGAAAGGAAAACGGCGCCAGAGATGTGTACCGCAGAATACATCTCGCAGTCGACGCCGCAGTGAGGAGAATGCTAGTACCTCTTACATGGATAGACAAGCCAAAGGCGGGTACAATGTAGGTAGGGCAAGGTAGGGGTTAGAGTGAGGTGTGTGTGGGGTGGGATGAGGACAGGCCGACTCCATAGTAGAAGTACCTTGTCTGTCCGGTGGATCATTTTATATACATAAATACATACAGAAATACTATGCCTTGACAGACGGGAAACGGGGGACATAGACAGGGTAGTGAGAAAACGGCGGGGGTCAAGATAATATGAGATAGGGTTCGAGGTACAGACGAGAGCTGCGCGAATACCTACATGCAGGTATGTATCCAAGGATGTATGTAGGCTACAGCCATTCTCTTGTGTACCTAGGTATGTGATATGTATGTAAGGGTACCTAGCCTACCCCGGCGATCGATTGCTTGACTCCCTGAAGAGGGTCGGCTCGACAAGGCAACCAGCAATTGATCCCAGGAGCTGTGCTTTGATGACAGGGGATTCTATGAATGCCTTGGTTCCTGGTGTCTATGATATAACGTAAGTAGCATAGCATAAAGTAGTATAGAGAAGCTAGAAGGGGGGGAATATGGTCAGTGATAGAACGGCGTGCTGTGCGTCAAGAACGTGTAGAAGTCAGGTTGTAGTGTAGGTATGTAGTGTAGGTAGACAGGCAGGCAGGCAGACAGACAGACAGACAGACAAACAGTTGGGTACGTGCTGGGTATGTAGATAGGTAGGCACATAAATTAGGTACCTACTCAGCTAGCCGAATCCGAGAATAAGATAGATCCACATACGGGGTATCCTCATGAGCCATGGGGTGTAGCTAGGTCAAGCGCGCAGGACCCAGTTTACGGGTAGGGTGGCTTTGGCGTTTCTTCGCGAAGAATGGTGAGCAGGCAGTGCTAATTCTGCGACTCGCTCTTAGTTCGACCTGCCTTATCCATACTCCAAGTAACTATCTCGCCCACATACATACCATACAGTTACTATAAAGAGCTTGTAAGTATCGTGTATAATACCTAGGTAGGTATAGGTATACTAGGTATTATGTAGTTAGCTATGTATGCCATGCGACTCCACTGCAAGGGTCTTGTGCAGAGCAGCGAGCTACACATTTTAGGTAAGTATGTATGTAGGACCATTGTAGGTAGGTATGTAGGTACATATTAGTATATTGATACCATGTACTAACGTGTTTTACCTTGATCCATTGTTAGTATCATATAATAGGTAATGTGATGGTGCAAATAGTAGGTTCATATCTTGTATCGTGATATTTTACTGGTATGGGAAAATGACGTGTGAAATGCAGTGCGTAGGACTTGATGCGAACTGCAACAATTCGGGACCGATGGTGATAGAGCCTCTTTCCCTTCCCTCTTTTCTTCTCCTTCTTTAGGCCTCATAACATACATAGGCGACTGTTACTCGGCTTCGGCCTCGGCCTTGACCTTGGCCTCGAGATGCAGTTGGCCGCATAGCAATAGCATTGGCAACGGTGTTCAGGGCCCAAATCTAACTGGACCATAGACGAATAGATAATATGTAATGGTATGCATAAAAAGCCTGACTGTGTGACGAATTTGGAATGAAAGAAGAATAGAAGAAATGTTCTATGAGAATAAGACGGGTTGTATCGATGTCACGTAGTAAGGGTTAATTACATGTAGCTCTTTAATTGCACGAGGGGTACATAGGATCCGGATCCATGTCCCCGTTTACCTTACCTGATTAGTAGACTGACGCAGGTGGTAAATGGGGTTAGAGACAGACGAACGCCCTAACAGCAGTAGCACTGATGATGAGTGTACTTTTACAATCCATACATCCAATAACCTACATGTAGGGTACTACATACGACGCAAGTACTATGTACTGAAGTTCCTGGCTCGTGCACAGAAAATGGCCCACTGCAAGCGCTGGCGTCTAATTAGTCGCCTGCAGTGCACTCAGTATAACTAACTAGGTGCTATGTAGTAAATTCGGAGTAGCCCTGCTGCCCTGGAGAGTACTATGTACTACTAGGTATGTATCTACTATCCATGGATGTAATAGTAGCTCTAGGGCTGTCATTACCACACACCCCACACTTTTATAGGCTTGGGAGGGGAGTGACTATAATAATTTTGAACATCGAAGCTCTTACAAGGATCTGCCTATGTACATGATGTATGTACATTTAATGTATGCACTTGATGTGTACTTGCAGCCCAAATCAGTATTTGGTGTGGGTAGGTACCTCCGCCTTTTCATCTTATGCTTTCAATTCTTCTCATGTTGTGTTTTTAGACCTCCAGGGCTTACATAGTACACTAGGCCTTACATTAGACCCTACCTAGTACTAACCTTAGGCTGCTAGGCACCTATCTCTACTATTATTGATGTATGTATCGTAACTAGTTAACCTAACTACTTCATACAATACTTCTATAAATGGTGTTAACAACATCATCATCAGTCAACGCTTAAGACTTGGGTTATTAAATTAACCATCTACATGGCTGGGTAGAAGAGTTGGTTTCTTGTCAGGCATTCTATTTTTGCGAGATGATGCTAGGCACAAACTGTACCTACCTACCAGGCATCTAACAGTCCACAATGTTGGTATGTACTCAATGTCATGTCATGTTATGTTTATGGTCATCCTCAAAGTCGATCAAGGTTGTGCCCGTGGTGCGGTAGGTGGTATCTCGTCATTTGCGAGTGGCGTTGGCTAAGAAGTTTGGTAACAGAGATCAAATCATGTCGATAAAATTTTCCCCTTTTGGATCTCTTGAACCAAGCCTAAGTGTTGTCTGGTTCTGCTAGGTCTTAAAAATCTCATTGCGGAGGTACAGGGTTGACAAGAAGCCGTGCTTCCAGTGTAGGTAGGTATCATATCTATCTGCTATCAGTCTAACCTTGGTAGTAATGTCAATACTGGGTATGTATGTTGTGTCATGGTAAGGTATTGTATGTACACGTTCCCCGTTCACTTTCTTCACATTGTTGCACTTCCGACTGTGCCTCTTGAAGCTGATCATAGCAGAGCGCTAAAATATCACTCACGCTCATAATTCGTAGATGTGAGGTATTCTCGGTAAGACTAGTACAATTAGCACAATTAGTTGCACACAGTTAAAATATTGACAGTTCAAAGAGTATACCTGATTTGACGCGACCTTAGTCTTGTCATCCACTATGTCGCCATTTTCGTCCGCCCCATCCTCGTCCGAAACACGCCTCTGAGCTTAGCAGTGGGTGGTCATTTTCTCCTACAACCTCCGATCCTAGGAACAGTCAGTTATCAGATTGGGGCTTGACCTTTTTTTTGTTCCATTTTTGCTCTCTCTTATGTCTTGAGGATTGATTCTAATATCATATGAGTTAACTATGGGTTACGTGGATTTCATACTTAGGTAGGTAGGCACGTATCATAATTTACGCAGGTGCCTGCACCTATGTATCCAGAGGCCATCAAACCCACCATCTGTACATGTACATGCCTCGTTGATAATAACCTCAAATTCTCCATTTGTATTCGAAGCCACCGATTCGGTAATCCAAGCATGAACTGATCCGACCCTAGGATATCTCATCCAAATTGCCATTGGGTAGGTTCAACAAACTGGGAGATCATCAGTTCATTCGCAGAAAGGCCATGTATCCTAGCAATAGTAGCCTCCACCGAAAGGCTACAAATCTTCGTCTGGCTTATTTCAATGGTCTAGAGTACGACGAGGCTATTTGTGTAAATTATTTTGTGTATTATGGTTATCATCTTTTAAACGGCAATACGCCCAGACACCAAAAATTGCCGCTATAGGTACCTGAGCCGTACACTACAAGGGCTTAGTTCATCCATTTACAACGGCCCGCTCAGAGCGACGGCGCGGTAGCTCTCTCTTAGTGGGAACCTATGAAATCACGGCTTTCCCCCCCACTAGATACCCCATTGATCAACGCCGCAAGGCTAATAGTTGTGGAGCAGAAACTAAGAGATTAGAATGAACAATGAACAGCTCGAATGAAACAAATCCCGAAAAGAAAAAAAAGATGTCGAGGCTCCATCTTCTAATAGCCGTGCCTCTCCTAGGGCCAATACCATGGCCCATGAGCTATGAATGGAACAGTAACTATACACCGCGCCCTTAATTAGTAACTTAATAAGTGCTAACCAGGCTATATCATCTCTAGTGCCAACCAAACACTACCTAACGAACCGTTAGACTGAACTTTTTGGTGTTTTCGATCATTCGAGGGGCCAAAAAGAGTAGCTGGTTTTATTTTCAGGATATCTGATATATCGCGCTTGTTACGTCTACTGAACCTTTAAAAAGATTACCCACTAGGAGGGACAAGAAGCAGAAAAGATTTTTGACTGATGGACCACCGCGTTAGCCAGTTGCCAACGTTTAGCGTGACCTGCTCCAGAACACCGAATCAGAAATAAAACCAAGAGGTTATAAAGTCCTATTGGCATATATTCGGAATGGCAACTCCATATAAGGCAACATTGTTGAGATGTGTTGGTCTACCAAGGCAATAGAGACCAAAAAAGGCGAAAAGACGTTGGACAAACCCGGTCGGCGTCAAATCAACCTAATTCCAACTGCAGTACCGATGCGGCGCCGACTGGTCGACGGCACAATACAAGGTTTAAAATGAAGCGCCTTTGTACGTGCCTCTACGTTTATGGTCGTATACTCCCCTCCTTTTTTTTCACAGCCTGCCTCTCCTGAGTGATTGAGTCGGTTTAACCGCTGCGTGGGCATTCTTCTAAGACATCCATCCATCATGCACTCACTGCGACCGTAACGAAGGACTCGGGGCCAACTGAGTGTTCGTAAAGGAGGTGGTCGACATTGGATTACTGCCATTCACCTGGAAATAGAAATAGTTTAATATCAACCTGACGTGATAGGGGTTTGTTGATGGAATTGGAGTAGGAGTATAAGTAGGTAGGTTTGGTTGGTATTATGGTGTTGTGCTAGACATTTCCGACAGTGTGGGACCCTATATATCCATCCAAGCAAAGACACCTACATGCTGGAGTTAGTACTAACATGAACCCAGAGACACATACATTGTTAGTGTTCCAGAACAGTGGTATAGCTGTATGTATGGGAACATGTATGATGTATGTTCTATGTATGTAGGCATGTGTGACCATTGGGCTGGTGATACGATTGGTCAGGGGGAACAGCTATGTAGGAATAAGCAGGTCTACTGGTAGGTAGGTTGCATGTAAGTATAGTGTACTATACCCCATATTGGCGTTTCTGGCCTCAAAATCCTTCCCGATTGGATTCGGGATATTTTTTTTCTTCTCGTTCTCTGGGCCACGAGGTTTCCAGGAATGTTACGTAAGCATGCAGCCAATAAGATGTGCATACATGATATGATGTAAAAGATAAAATGATCTGCGTGGAGGAAGGTGGTGTGCTTAGGTATTGGGTACAACAGTATCAATGTAAGTAAGCACATTGATGCAGGTATCAGGTATGTATTATGTACTATGTAATTATTACATTGCAGCTGGAGCACTGAGATTTGTTGTCATTAGTTATCAGTGATCGTATCTTCTTTTAACTCTTTCTGTACAAACCATTCATGTTCAATGTTCATCCGTACTTAGATTGACATAACTAACTACTCAAGATTTATGTCTAATGCAAGTCTGAAACAAACATTGAACCCTCAAAAGACTTTGATAGGGATTAACTACGGCGTACTTGATGTATCATGATGTTCTTTTGTTTACATCCATGGATATTCCCAAGGGCTCTATTTTAAACTCATATCCGTTTCTTCCTACTGCAACATCATCTAGACATCTGGATGCCACCATAGTAATCTAAAGCGACATTAGGATTACATAAGTATCAATATATTACATAGGTACCACACATACAAGTCATGGTACCTATGTAGTTACATGTAGGTACCTATGTAATGCATGATGGGGAAAGCACAGACCTAACTGGTAAGGTGGTTTGGTTTACCCCTCTAGCTCAATCTAACCTGCATAGGAACAAACATTAAATGCAGCTGCTTGTTTCAGCTAACCTTGGAAGTACCCTCTAGGGCTATGATGTATTTCAGCTACTAGTAGTTAGGTACCTAGCTGATAGGGCTGGAGGTGCTGTTCTGGGAAGTTGCATAGCACAGTAATACCTCCAGGGCTACAGTACTTTTTTTCTAACTTCTAATAAGGGCTTTCGATGTTGCCGACATTGGACAAACAACTTGAAACCTTCCATTTGATTTCCCCGAAAGTTGCTATGTAGCATCAAAATGGAGAGAATCAACAACCGGAAATTTGAGCAAAACAAATGCAGTTGGTTTTCAATATTTCAATGTTGTTGCATAATACCTAGTAACCCAACCTACATATGATTAGGTACAGTCCCTACTTACCTAGGTCCTACATATCTATCTGTTCCATATAACTACATTATCATTGATGTATTCAATATTCACAATATTCAAGAAACTTCATTCGGCCGAATCAATCATGGACGGACGAACCCGATCCCGACTCGCAGTTTAACATGGCAACGAAGGCAAGCAGCAATATCAGTCTATTGATTGCTTACACAAGATATATACTAGGTGGGCTTCGTTACATACATACAACCAAGGTCACAGCTGCGCTGCTGCTGCAGGTCTTGGCCTTTCGACGAATGTTCTCTGCCTACATACATAATATGTGCCTAGGTACCTGTACTCGGTTGCATTGATGCGACGACACCGTATAATACAAACACTCCCAATGCTCCCAAGGTAACCTGTGCTTCCCATGCATTTCAGTACCACCCATACCACCCATACCACCAACTTGAGTGCAACTATTACATATTTTACCTACTGGTTCGTTAGACGCCAAATCCAGCACGTGAATTTAATTCTTCGGTTGACACCCTACTGTCACATCGACCCCTCAAGAGCTCAAAGCTCAAAAATCATATGCACACCGACTTTCTGTGGTTCATCGAAGACATTGTCTTCATAAACTGTCGGGGATGCCAGACACGCCCATACTGGTTCTACTACTCGCCGACCTCACCACACAAAGCTACCAAAGTAACACAATTCGAGCCCGCCCAATTGTGCTGGCAATGTCGATTTCTCTCAAAGAAGCGGCGGAAAGCTCTACTCGTACAAAGTCACATAGTTTCACCGTGAGAAGCACCGTCTTGCAGAAGAGTCTGTCGTCACCTTAAGCGACACAAGGCCAATAGCATGCGCTCATATGGTAGTCAACAAGCTCAACAAGTTCTATATTGCATAGGGCCCCGCGTATGGTAATTACCAGTTGCAACACTCAGTGCGCCTGAATCCAGTTTGTGGGTGTGCAATTCTTCAAGCATTTATTGTACTTGCATGGATTGTATCTGCGCCGGTAGGCCAATTAACCTCTTTTCTTAGTTCTTCGGAACCCTGGTGCTTTTCATACGATCCGCCACCCAACCACAGAATCGAAATCTAGAAATGACGGAGCAGATTGGCATCACAGCACGTTCCAATTAGCAAGGGTCTGGGGGCACTATGACGGTCAAGCTTCGCATTCTAAGTTCTTACTCGAGGATCTTCCGTGTGGGCATGGGCATAGCTACCTAGGCAGTGGTGCCTCTTCCAGGCATCTCCCAAAAGTCTTTCTCCAGCCCCACTCGGCTCTTCACTCTTCACGTATGCATTCAACCCCGTTCGGCAAGTTTCGAGGACTCGCCAGGGTGATTTGCATACGGCGATGAGTTTCTGTTTGTAGGGCACTGTATTGTATCAGTGCAAATGCCTTCCACACAACTACCAAGCTACATACTACGAATTCGGACATATAATTCGAGCTCGGAACCAGCAACGAACGGCATCGTCTCTATCCAAACAGGCCAAGAAGTTAATTCCTACCTAGGGTTAGCAGACTGGGGCTTCTCCCAGACATCACTCGGGGTCCATAATTTTTCTTTACGATTATGGCATCCTTGTAGGGTGATAAGTTGCATACATCAACCGCACAATCTTTGATGTGTGTACATAAAAAGGGACAGACAAGACACAAATCGAATGCAGTCGGATCTGGCCTGGATACAAACATGCCAGGCTTAAAACAATATTGCATCTTCATTGACATGACATCCCCATCCTCGATCGGGGAGGGAAGACACTTGAAATAAAGTCGTAGGCTGTTGCGGCACAGCTATCCTAGCAACCCTTGCAACAATACATAGTAGAACCACCAACAAGCTTACATCGTTGCTCTCTCATCACCTAGTATAGCTACATATCAGCACAGCAGCATAACGTGCTAAGATCCGGGCAGATACGTAGCCCATAGAAGTGTCCACTAACTCCGCTTGTCGTCGGTTCGATAGAAAAGCATATCGTGACCCGACTGTTGTCAGGCAAGTCAAGCTAAGCGAACCCTAACTTTACCTACACGGGTGATCATGATGGTCCACCTCACTCCACCTCGGTTTTATTAGTATTGACTCTCTGGGTTGTCAATGCTTACCGCTTACCCCAAGGCCAGGAGGTAGATGAACCCAAGTGCCCCCCTGTAGATCACCTCAAACTCCCCCCATTTTAGGCCTAGTGTCCCGCTATAAAGCCCACCCAGAATGGGGCTCGGTCACACGAAAATCCGGAGTTTAGCGAGTTGTAATTGGCCATATGACTGACAGGGGCCCACCTGATTATTTGAACTTTCGAGTCTTATTTTTGGAGTTTTGCTGGCTGCAAAAAGCCCAAGCTTCAAAGCTTCAATCTGCCTAAAACCACACAATCCATCATCAGTCCAAGCTGCCGCTTTAGTGCATCCTATATCGTTGGAATCGCCTCAATTAGAGCTTCCAAACAATATATGTTTCAGATTGATGCGATATCTGAATCTGAAGTTATTTGAATTTAAAGATTAAGAAGCACCTGAAAAAAGATACATCTGTAACCAATACCTGGATCACGTGATAGCCCTCGGCTAGCGCCAACTGCCTTTGCTTCAAGAAATCCTAAAATAACTTCGCAACTACCGGTCGCATTAATCTGAAACATATATCATTTGGAAGCGCTAATTGAGACGGTTCTAATGATACCGGTTGCATCAAGATGCGTCCATTGAAGGAAAAGTTATTAAGGATAGTATGTTAGAGGCTAGCTGGAGAGCCCGGACCAGCGCTATGTACTAGGGTGCGGATAAGCTTCCGATAGCAATTTATTTTTAATTGATTAATGATTAAATAAGAATCAATTAAAGATCAATTAAGAATTAATTAAGAATTAATTTATAATGAATTACAAATTAATTATAAATCAATTAAATTAGAATTAAAATATATAAAATATTAAACTTAATAATTATTATAATTATTTTTTAAAGTTATGTTTATAATTGATTAATAATTAATTATGAATTTTTCGTTTTTGAAAAAATAAACCTTAAGAGATAAAAAGTTGAACCCAAGTGCCTAAAAAAGCAGTTGAGCCCAAGTGCCTGTCCGAATGAGGTATAGTCGTCGGCCCAAAATGGGGGGAGTTTGAGGTGATCAACAGGGGGGCACTTGGGTTCATGTACATCCTCCCCCAAGGCCCGTGAGCGGTTTTTGTTGATTAAGCTAGGCGCTTTTTGTTAATCTATGATATCCATTCCATGTATGTACATATTACCATACAATGTAGTATGTAATATGTATACGTCCAATTGGATGCCCCTCCCTGGTCGTTTGCTGTAGGCATGTGTCGACCAGATAGATCTTCATAATCGAAAGGTATGGCCTATCAATCTATCCATTGGCACTTGAGGGGCATCGGGTCTTGCCACCACGAATCAAACCACACGTAACTAACAAGAACCAACCATCATGACGTCCAATCTCAAATCGTAAGTAAACCCCAGCTAATTAGCTCTACCCGACGATCTCGAGAACATAATCAAGTCTACTTGTTGGAAATCAAAGATGGCGGGGCGGGTCCAAGGTCACGATCAAGGCTAACGTCTGTCTCCCTCGAGGCAGATCCTCCTCCTCAGAGCCACGTGGTCTAAAACAGTAGTTCGCTCCTTCAGCCCGGGGAGTCTCTTTCTATGCAGACGCCTTCTCATATTCTTGACTGAATGAAGTCAACCTAGTGACAAATTTCTCAGTCTAGAAACATTCATCAGACAGGGGCCGCCTGCCGCACTACCGTTCTCTCACGGCCGACCTCCCCTAGCTACGCTCCTTTCCCACCAGGGTGATAACGCACGATAGAGTTCTGTTACTATTTTAAGGGCTTTTTATTCCCTAGTAAACTCGATCCTCCTCGCTAGACAGATCTGATTTCCCATATAAGGGACCTTGTATATTACCTAGGTACGTACTAGGCCCTGTACCTGGTTCTACGGGATCATTTCAGGAAATGGTCGTCTACGTAAATACCTACGTAGGTAGGTAGGTACGCACGAATCAGTCACAACATTGACGAATATAGATGTTTAGATGCACCAAAAGCTGTAAAATACTTCCGTGCCTCGTTCATGGGCTACTTCAATTTACAGGGGATCGCATTTTCCTTCCCCTTTCCAACTGAGCCTTGCAGCCTCAAGTCTAACAAGCCGTTTTTCCTAACAGGTGTTAAGAGGACTACCAACGAGCCGCTCAGGATAATCCTATCTGCTTTCCACGTCGTGTGATTACGTTGTGTTTCCAGAATTCGTTCTGGTAACCCAGATACCGTCATGGATGACCGCCGCTTGCTACGCGCAGAGTGCAGTGGACTTATTCCACTTTAGCATGATGGAACAAGCTGCTATACCGGGACATTCTATGATGACTTGCTAATTAATGCCCTAGACAGGTTGATATTGTAACCCCCCTTACTCTCCTTTCAAATAACTGCCTGGATGGCTAGCCCCTGTCTTTGGAGAGGCAAGATTAGTTCTATACCGACATCCAAGTAGTTATAAAGAAAAGGATACCGAAATATACAAGCTTGGCCAGATTGAGCAGCTGAGCATCCTCGTCAGACATTGGGGGCATCTACCTCAACGATCATTTCAAAGGGGGCGTACAAGGAAAAGGGGGAATACAAGATAAGGCGAGAACACCAATCATAGATTAAACTACGGGTTTCCCCTGGCACACACTTACAAAAGCTGGCACTTCGTACTTCGCAAGGTCATCAACGAGCAAATGACCGTGTCAACTACTATTCACTCCTTTATTGAGTCATCAGGCTATGCCTACGCCTATTATTTACCTAGTACTTGTCGAGCTAGGCACTTAGACGGCACCCCACGGCTTTTCCAAGAGACAACGTTAGTCGGCAGTCAATATTACTCGTAGTCGTATACACTTTAAGCGCCATGTCCACGATCACAAGTGCCGTGCCACTTTGCCATCCGTGATAACAGGTTTATACGTGCTCTGGACGTCGATGGATTACTACACCCTTCTCACCTTTATTCGGTCTTGTATAACCCGAACAGGCTGTCGCCAACTCGGTGTTTACTATGTAAGTCTAACTTGACAAATGACCTGAGGTACCTACCCACTAGGTAGGTAGATATATTACAAAGGTAAACCGAAACCTTGGCCCTTTAACAGTAGGCTACTACGCCACCATCCTATATTCATCAGCCTGGCCACGAAACTTCGGGAGGGTCTGCCGATACAAATGGGCCTCATACTGACCGTTGGAAGGTATGATTGTTCAAACGTGGGACCCCTTGTTGCTTATTACATGTTGGTTGCAGAGGTCTGGTATATCTCGACGCGTGCCCATAAGCAGCAGCGTTAGGGGCTGTCAGATCATGAAAGAGAACCACACATATACGGACACACACACATACACACCTAACGGCCGCTTAATAATTATTCCCTAACCAGGCGTAAAACATGGCTCTGTTTACCGGGGAACCAATGAGATCTCAGCCTTATTTACGGAGTAACTTCACACCTAACCTTGAAAGCAATACGTCGTGTGGTGGTGGTGGGTTAGCTCGGACTCGCCACGCCACGCCTTGTTAGTTAGTTAGTTAGCCAGGCTCATCGACTTTGAATAAGAACTTAAAATGGTGACCCTGCAAGCGTTCCTAATCATGGAAGGCGAATCAAGCATCCCGGATCTGACACTTGAAACGTCGATGACATATTGACTTGTCAACATTCCTTTTTTTTTCTTTTCCTTTCGGAACCGGGGGTGCGGGCTTTCGACTTGGGAGAGCTGCAGAAGCGGTGGTTTTTTTTTTGTAACAAGATAACTATGTACATGCTTTGCATTCCTTCTCCTTCTCTACTTACTCAGTACCTAGTAGGTAGGCATGTATCGTGAAGGTGGCGTGGCGTGGCGTGGCGTGTATCGCCATGGCTATGTACTTGCCTCTTGTAGACACATGTAATGTACGGCGACCTTCGTCTCGCCTACCTATACAGCACGTAGAAAATAGCCCTAGTTAGCAGGCGGTCTACTTCCCCGAGTCCCTAGTCGACAACATGCACGATGGCGATAATGATCGCCCAGCTGCCAGGGTAGGGGGGGTCTTTGTACCTACCTATATC